CTTTCTCTTGCTCAGGAGCCCTTCACCTAACCACGTAGCAGCCACGTTGATAATGCAGGAGTTTGCAGTGAAACACAATCTTGCAGTTGAGTAACTTCAATTAGTGGGTTTTTTCCTAACCTTTTTTGAAGTGTTGTTTAAAAGCAGATGAAATAAATGTGTGATACATGGTGATGAAATTTGAGATTCAAGCACCGTATATCAGCAACTTTTGTCAAATTTTCCGTGTTCCTGTGGTGTCCTGATTCTAATTACTGGGTGAACAGCATCTTTTAAAATGTTTTAAATTCTCTTCAGAAGATTATTTTTATGTTTGCGCTGTACAGTAATAAACTACTCGGTCACTACCTTGAGTGACCTCATCTCTAGATCTGTGTTATGTTCATGGGAAATGGAGTATGAAGTATTTTTAATATGCCGCACTCTTGAGAACAATGGCTACAGGAAGTTGAATATCCCTTGGAATCAAGCCATGTTTGTTGTTGTTTCCAAAGTGAGTGATGAATGAGAGAGAGAGAACCTGCTTAGTCATAAAACACAAAGAACATGGGGAAATGGCTGGGTCAGAATGGATGAAAGAAAAAGGATTAATTCTTTGGAAAGTATGATAATGGAAATAAAGACAGATCAGGAACCAACTAGAAGTCAGTTGGGTGGAGCGGTTGACCTGCTCGACTTAAAAGGGCATCTAGGAACTGCAATATCCAAAAACCAGGAACTCGGGGCACTTGTCATTAAGGCCCTGGGATCTGGGTGAGTAATAGTTATTTAGAAATTTTTCTAACAGTTGGGGATTCTGAGATATCTGGGACAGAGCTAAGGAAAAAGGAATGAAGCAGTGTCTACCAGGAAGTGGCCATTTAAGCCACTTGTCTCCCTATCTCACCAGCAGCAGACCAGCAGGGAGCCAGAACTGCAGTCTCTCTCTTTCATAGTTGATGTAATATATTAACTCAGACTAATTTGTTTGGTTTTTTAACTCTAGTTTAAAAAATTATTTCAGCAGATCTTTTTAACTTCAGAACTGTGCCCTTTCCAACAACATACTGCATGCATCTTATGAGGTGGGTTATGTATACATACGGATAAACAGTGGTCCTCTGTGAGCTCAGGCATATTAAAAGAATCCCTCTAGAGGATACTCCTGGAGAATGGAGCACTTGTGACCATGAGTCCTCAAAGAAGTTGACTATGAAGTGGTCACCCATTGTGTTCTTCAAACTCTTCCATCCCTAAGGGTAAAGAGAAGTGAGTTTATACTCTCAAAAATCTGGAATACAGCCTGGAATCGCCTGTAAATTTCTCTGAAGTCTTCTTTTTGATCTGAAATTACATGCTAGTTTTGTGTTCTACTTTTTACCATTTCTTTTAGTTTTAATGTGAAAATAAAGGCTCTTCTCTCCATAATCTTTGAGTAACCCTGAAGCCCCCAGAAGCATGGGCCAGGTGTCCTGTAACTTTGTGATCTATCATTCAGTGCCCCCAAGGGCACATCCACAACCACTGCTCAGAAGCAATAATGTAAACGAGTTGCTTGGTTTATGTAGGATGCATTTTCTTAAGTTAAATTTTGCAAATAATTTAGTTTTGGTGTTTAAAGGAATTCACTGTTTGGAGGAATGGTATACTGTTTGGTGTATTAAAGATTTTTTTAAACAAATTTTTTTATCTTGATTGTCATTTTAATCAAATTATTGCCAATAAGTTTTCCTAAATCTAAAACCCAGTTGAGAAAAATCACAGATAGTGTATGTAAATTTAAAAGGAAGGGTTTATACAAATTAAAGTTCTTCTTTTGCAACTCCCTGAGAGGTGGGGAGGTGTAGATAATATACATTTATGAATCATTATAGACGAATATACTAATACGTAGAAAAACAGAACTTCCACCTTGGCTTTGGGGTCTATGTTTGAAGTAAAAGGTTCAGACTGGCTCACTTAGTTAATAGTTTTACTTAGATGTGTGAACATCCTACAGTAATGACTTAGCCTTTTACAGCATCAAGAATATATAGCAGTTTAACTGTTAAAAAGAGAATTTGACTAGAAGTTATATAATGAGAAATAATACACATATGTATTTTACTATTAAGCTAAAATGTCCGAGTTCCCATGTGACAATGAGAGAGGGAAGTAGTACCACTTCGACATGAGGCACCGTCTGTAGTTCACCATTTGGCCCCTACCTGCCTCTCCAGGCCCGTCTGCTCTCAGGCCCGGCCATCTCCAGCCACACCGCCCACTCATGGTTCGTGTCCTGGTGCACTGTGCGTTGCTCTGGCTCCTGCGTGGCACATGTGCTGTTAGCTCTCACCAGGTGCCCTCCTGTTCTCATTTGCCTCATTAACTTTGATTCTTCATAAAAATGCCCCCGGGAAACCCTGTCTGAGGCCTCAGCAGCTACCCCTCCACTCTCACACCACACACACCAGTACATGTGGTCGAGGTCGATCGTAGGTCAGAGTGTTCCTTTCCCTTTGGCCTGGGACTTCCTCAGGGTGGGGACTGCATCTGCCATCCCTGTAGACCCTTGATGTCTCACTTATTGTCTGCCACGTTGTAGATGCTAAATAAATGTTCTTGTGATTGAATACTTGGATTTATTTGCTTCTTACGAATGCAGAATGGAAGTTAGGGAGCTTATTCAGCAGGGGAACATCATCCATCAGCAGCTTTTACTTTGTGAGGGCAAGGGAATGCGAAAGGTGATTGAGAGCCCCTTTTTTGGAACTATCAGAACTGTCGGGCAGCACAGATGAGGTGGTGGACCAGCTGTGGTCTGGAGATGGAAGAAGCAAGGGGTTGCAGAACCTCTCGATTCACTAGCTCTGTTAGGTTACTGTTTGAGGGCAGCACAAGCAGTTATTTGGCAGGAAATGTGTAATACACTGCTATGAAGATTGATATGCCTGTTTCTTTAGTAGTGTTTTCTGAGGAATCCTGGTAAAGATATTGGGGCTTTCATGATAATTACACTTAAACTGTACATCAGATTGTATTCCCTTTTCCTTAAGGTACAACGATTCTTTTTCTACACTGTTATCTAACTGTATTGGTGATTATTTTCCTCTAAATCATGGGTTCCTTCTCAACTATGAGTTACCTCACTTTTTTGAGGGTTGTATAATTCTGAGTATCCTTACCAGAATTTTGTATTATAGCAAAGTAACTTTTGTTCGCTGTATCCTAGAATGAGCCTGAAAGAGGGAAAGATAATATTTTAGACAGTCAGTATTCTGTTTAACAATGTATTTCCAAAGTAATTATAGTGTATTAAATATAAATATGTACAGTAAACAACGTAGAATATGTTGGTACTATTTTTTCTCAGGTCTCACCCCCAAATTTTGTTTCTTTGTGTTCAGCCAACAATTGTTTGGTGAGGACTATTAAAAGCATAGGACATAGTACTTATAGGTAAAATGCTTACTATCTGGGTTAACACCAGTAGGTTGGCACCAGGCACCAAGGTCCTGTAATTTTTAGGAACAAACCTCCTTCAATGTGCAGAACTATGTAAGGGTGTTTCTCTGCTTATCTGCCACTAAAGAAAAGTTGCCTTCTCATGCAGCAATAATCACATTTAAAAATGTATCAGAATTGCATTGCAATGCTACTTACTCTAGACTGAATTTAACTTAAACATGTGTGTCTCCATTCCCAGCCTAACAGATTTAATTACTGACGGACCTTCTTATAAGATCCACTCATTGATTTATTCAACAAATAATTGTCTACCAAGTGCCAGGCAGTCATTTGTTTGTTCCTGCTTTCAATGGAAGCTGCTGTTCTTTGCAGCTCACTGCACTTGGGACATAGGACAAGGCGCAGTGCCTGCTCTCTCGGAGGTCATAATCCAGTGGAAGAAACCAGTGAGCAGATACTTATAACAAGTTCAGACGGGGGCTGTGGTGGAATTGGCGTTGCATCTTAAAAGAATAAGACAGATTACCAGACAAAAGGCCAGGATAGCTTGAAGAGTTCCAGTCACAGAGAGAAGCATGTGCCCAGACAGTTGAGAACATGACATGTGCAAGAGTTAACTTTGACACAGCCGAATACATAATGTGGGAAAGCAGGTGGTGAAAGGTGGGTGCTGGGGACTTTGGTGGCAGATTGAAAGACAGTAGGCAGCAATGGAAAGACGGAAGCTGGAGTGTGATCGGATGGAATGCATCACATCAGAGAATCACTCTGACAGCACAGTGGGAAGTGGATCCGAGGGAAGTGAGACTGAAAGCAAGGTTAAGATGCTGTCGCAGTCCTCCAGGGGAAACATGATGTGGGTCAGAACAGGACTGTGGGTTACACATTCTCTTACCAGAAAAATTGCCAATTGCTCCCGCCTGTGCAAGTGGTCCTTCTGCCCTGGTCCCTGCTCCCTTAATGGAAATGCAGCGTCTCATTTTAGGACTCACCTCACTTAAGCCTTACGTTTTGTGAGAAAGGAAGTGTTATTCCTAGTCACAGATGACACATAATGTTTGTTCTAATCAGTATGCTGACCCTTTTTGTGGAAGTCTCCCAAGTGAGATGAGGCAGGAGCTGTTGGAGAGTCCAGGTATTGGATGCCTGGAAGGCAGGGTCCATGTTTGAATCTGGCCATTTACCTTTGCATGTAGTAGGCAAGCCCACTTGCTAGTCTTTTGCCAATTTCTTATTTTGCTTCTTTTGAATTATCTTCTCATTTTGAATACTTGTTCCCTGCCTTGTCCTTATTTTACATTTTTTTTGTTTGTTTTAAGGAAATCCTTCAAAGTTCCATTTTGATGTAAATACAGCCCTCATGGCCACGACAGGTGCAGAGATACTGTGAGCAATATGAGAGACTATCTTCAGGATTTTTCAGTTAATGTTTAATTTTTAAATATAGAGATCAACTCAATAGGCTAAAGCTGCAGAGAACAAGGAACATAGATCTTCCACGTCATTCAAAGAAAGTAAAAATTTTAACTGCATTTAGCAAAGCCTGTTTTAAACGTTTATGGCAGAGTAGCTGACAAACTTAGCCTCTGCGTTTGGCCAGCGTAGTATAGTGAGTGGTCAGACTGATTCTCCTGCAGCGAGCAGGGTCACAGAACCACCTAACAGCCTCTCCAGCCCCTGTCTTCTTGTGTCCCCTTGTCCTTCCAGTGCGTGGACCTGAGCTGCAACGAGCTGAGTGAAGTCACTTTACCAGAAAACCTGCCTCCAAAACTCCAAGAACTAGACCTGACGGGGAATCCCCGACTTGCCCTCGATCACAAAACCCTGGAGCTGCTCAAGTAAGTACTTTGTGAAGCGCTGCAGCCCAGTCACTCATCACTGAAAGTGGCCTTTACCACTTAGTAAAAAACACTAACTGGAATATGAAGTGTTTCGTGAGTCTGTACTTCACCAAAATGGATGGACAGCCAAGAAAAATGTCAAAAGAGTTGGATACTAATGTATCCTTTCAGAAAGTTTTTGAGAAAGAATCCAGACAAAAGAGATGAGAATAATACAAAGAGGAAAACAGGATTTAGAGACATAGGAGAGAGCAGTGAACAACCAGGACATACACTTACATGTCATTTACTGATAACCCGGTGTGATGCTTAAGGCAGATGTTACACAAGGACTTTGAAAGAGATACCTAATGTGGGGGAAGCTGATAATTGGAGCCAAAATTAAGATTATTTAAACAAAACTGGGGATGTGCGAGAGTTAGATACTGCTAAGTTCTCTTCCTGTTTTGGGAAACTGATACTGTCTCATGACTGATGTTGATGGAGACTAACAAGTTAGAGTTCATTATGTAAAATGTTACATAAAATGTTAAAGGAACCCTCAGTAGGAAGGATGTCTTTATAAGAATGTTCATCACAGAATTCTAAATGTCTATCAATAGAATTCAGTTATACTCCACAGTTGAATATTATACAGCCATTAAAAACAATGATGGAGAATTATATTGCTAACTTGAAAGATCTCTGCATATGACATTAGGTGAAAAGAAAATTTACAAGGAAATTTGTATAGTATAATTACACGTTTTCCAAAATAAATTTGTGTGCATATGGTATGTGTGCATGTGTGTGTGTACATGTGCACACTTAGAAAATGCCAGAAAGGATATAAAGCAAAACGTTAAAATAGTGCTATTCTCTGGATAGTAGGATTATGAGTGATCTTTGTTTTCTTCTTGAAACTTTTCTGAATTTTCCAAATTTTTGCAGTGTGTCTTAAAGTAACAGTTTTAGACGTTGACACACATTAGACATTGTGGTGCCATCTGTGCTTAAACCCTGTTGTGATTTCTGTTACTGACAGTCATCTTTCATTATCTTAGGAAAAAAAACTGAAAAGGAATGGAATTTAAAAAGAATGGTATTAATGGTCTGTTAATACTCTCCTAAACTTCAGTGCAAACTAAAATTTGCAAATCACTAAGGTGGTTCCTGGATGGAGTTGGCCTACTTTTAGTGCCTGTTTGTTGCCATTTTAGTACTTAATAAGAAGACTGACTTCGACAGATGATGGAAGAATCCTGGCTAAGTACAGTGTTCTAGGGAAGCCACAGGGGCCCGAGGCTCTCTCCACTGCTTTTCAGTATGTGAAGCCTTGGTCCAGATCCCTCAGTGTGTTCAGATCTCAGTTTTCTCTTCGATTAGGGAGGATGGTCTGCACACTACTCAAATAGAGAATGAGCAAAGGACATTAATATTTAACAAGTGCAGTACAGATAGTTACATGAAAAGATCATGCTCAGCCTGATCAGTGCATCAAGGAAATAGTAGATAAAATATTTAAATGGTAACTTTTTTCCCCCTCAAATTGGTGCTGCTAGAGGATTATAAATTGATACAACTTTTCTTAAAAACTATTGGCCAACAATGTAAGTCAACTTATGCGTCAATGCAAAAATAAAATGTTTTTAAAAAGACCTGTGTATCAAGCTTTTAAAAATATTCACATACTTAGACCAGGGTTTTATGTGGCAAAAAAAATGTATTCTAAAAATTAATCAGAAATATGATAATGTTTATTTTAGGTATGGAGATAGTCATCAAGATATTTCTAATTATATTTAGGATGAATGTAAAATGACCTGGGGAAATGTTCATGATGTAATTAGAAAAAAGGTGCAAAACCATGCATATAATAGAATGGCCCCACTATTATATAGACATGAGACATTATCTGTTAAATATCTACCAAAGGGTACGTGTTCCTGGAGTAACTGGAGCTACTGCAGTGAAGCAGCTGTGTGCTCTGTTCAGTATCTAGCAGGTTGTGGCTTCTTAGTAACCCTGGGGAGTTTCCATATCTAATGTACTATTTACGCTCAGAGGGTTGGCCTGTTTGTTCTGCATGAGCCAGGGTCAGTCCACATGGTGACTCTCCTGTGTGGCTGAGCTCCGGCTCCC